ATAAAAAAAAAGTGTTAAATTTAAAAATTTACTGTGGCCGTTCTAATCAACCGATTTCAATTTTTCAAAAAACATTTGACAGGTTTAGCGATCGTTTTTATGTTAAAAAATTTTCAAGTATCTAGATGCTTTATTTGAGGCTGTGCAACATTTTGAAAATTCGAACATTTTTTTTTGCGAAAACTATCAAACCGATTTTAATGAAATTTGATGTTGTTTTGTAATACGCTAAAGTTTTTTTTACCAAAACTAGAATGCCCTCGGAGCAATTAAAATATTTTTAAAAAATTGTCCAAAAAACTCGATTATTTTGCCTTTTTTTCATCAATTATTGCTAGTTTGCAACATCGGTAATAAATTTAACATTTTTAACTTACAGTATATTGTGCAAGATTTGATTCTAAAACTTTTTTCCTCTTCAATATTCTTCCAAAACGCACAGGTTCCAAGATATAAGTAAAAACAGGTATTTATTTAAAAATTTTTAAACATTTTCGCAATTTTTGAAATGTTCCGGACCTCGCCCAGATCTAGGGACATACACTTTTATTATGTGAGTTGTGCTGAAGACAATCCAGAAAAAATTGCTTGTCCCCTCTCACACCCACCTCAAAACAGATCCGTCCTGGTCTATTAGTAATTCCTGCCAGTAAAGTAAGCTATTATCGCAATTCCACGAATTTCCAGTAAATAATTATTACTACTGCTGCAACAAATTATAGCTATGGCAGGTACAAAAACACCGGCAAACACCGCGAAGGGCGTTGACATTTAAATGAAATCGGCGGGCTTGTTTATAAAATAACTCCGCAAATGCCTCGAATTTGCATTTAACAACTCGGAATGGCTGGGAATTTCTTTGTATAAGTAAGGTTTCCTCGTGTGTGTGTGTCGAAGGACGACGTAAGGCGCTATCAGGAAAGGCGCTTTGCAATAATTAAACCCATCTTATGCGGAGATGCAGGGATATCTGCAAGCTGCATTTGCACGTCAGGTCGCGTCTTACCAGTTCAACTATTTACCGTTTAATGAATACCAAATATCCGCCTGGGTTTTTAATGAAATGGTGAGCGAGTCTAGATTAAATTTTTAAGTAAATGTTTTTCTTAATTAACCTACAGGTTTCCAATTTATTTGTAACAAAAGAGCACCTGGAAATGAAATATTTCCATCGTTTCGCAAAGGTACTTTCATAAATTTTGATTGCAAAATTTTCGAAACAATTTGATTTTATAATTTCATAAAAGTATGATACGTGTCTTTTTAAGAAAAATTGTGCACCCAACTGCAATATTAAATATGACGGGAAACTTTATTAACGTTTTCACGTTCACGCGTATTAATTTCACTTTAAAGGAAGCGTCTATCAAAGCACTTCAGTTAACAAAGTCAGAATAACTTTTGTTTACTGAGATCTGGACGGAGGCAAAAATTTGATGAGCTACTGAACTTGCTGGAAGTTTAATCAAAAATATTTACACGACTTAAAAAATAACACTGCGGATTTAATTAACAAATAAAGAACTTTTCTCTAAGAGACAAATCGAACTTTAATGATACCTAATATTAAATAGTATTATATTTATTTCCAAGGACTTCATTCAAATATAAAATTAATATAAACATCAATTGGATATCTTCATGATTTCCATAACAAATATTAAGTTCGTTAATTTGAAAGGATATTAAATTCGCCCCACCGTTCATCTTTAATTTAATCATTCTCCTTACGTATAGGAGTTCGCCTCTACTACGATGTAATTTGAACGCGTTGTACCGTAAACAATGGTTGGGAACTTCTGGTCTGCATCGTCTCGTACATTTGGAAGTTTAATAAAGAAACTTAATGCAAAATTACACGCAATAAAAGTTACTGGCAGCATTACCACTAACTCAAACCTGGAAGAAAATTCCACGAAATACTTTTTACTCATAAATGAAATTTAAACCTTTGTCATGCACGTAAAAACTTTTGCTTGACCATTGCCCTAATTAATCAGATTTTCCATGTTTCCCTCATTCCTGCACTGAATGATGCTATCACCCTTTTCAAAGAACACACTTGTTTCAGAAACATCCTGTATACGAGAATGTATAACAGAATATTAAAATTAACTTGTTTTCTTTTTCTGAAGGCAGCTCCATGATATAATTTCGCGTTTACCAGTCGACCACATTTTCTTTTTCCCTCAGCCTAGCTTAGTTAAAACTGGGTAGAAGCCGTTTCTATTTTAAGGGTCAGACAATAAATTCACGCCTTAAGCGGTGGCGTTCACATTATTCTCTCCAAAACTGTAATGGTGGTGTAACAGATAAAAAATGCCGGGGATTTTTAAGTACCCTGATCTTCAAAGATTAATATCATGTTCAGGGGCGTGTCCGCCCTAAAAAAACATTTGTACAAAACTTTGGGGTTTCCAGAATTGTTAAGAGAATCCTTAGAACCCCAGTTTTGCTCTTCGGTGAAGCAAACACGTTAATTTTTTCGGTTCGGCTCGATGTCTCCAGTTTCATGGTTTTATTTTAATTGTTTTATCATCTCGAGAAGTTTCTTAAAGCATATTTTATGTTAGATACTCAATATGTAAGGGCGGAAACCAAACTATCCCTCAAATTACATCCATTTTGACGTTAGTAAATCAACAGCTTCCTGTGCAATTCCGTTTTCTTAAAATAACTCTATATATATTCAACCATAAAATGTGCTGCAGAAACAAATATACCACATAATACAACAGCTGGAACACGATCTGGAAACTTTGGCATCTATCCAGAAGATAATAAAATAAATCTTTTAACTATGCAGAAAATATATCTATTTTGTTGAAATCTTGAAGCACTTCTGGGAACTAATACTTTGTTTCCAAGATATTAATTAAAATTAGAGTTGTAGGACGAAAAAACAGTTTAACAAAATGAAAAAATTTATTATATTATGATTTTATTACTTAAAAAACTTAGAGACTTAAAAAACCTGAAAATATAATTTGGATGGAAATGTGGTACAAAGTTTAACAAAAGCTGTCTCAAATTTGTGGTCAATACTTTTACAAACATACAGGGTGGGCCATTAGTGTGAGAAAGTAAAATAACTCCCTTGTTTTCATAATACAGAAAAAAAGTTTTTATAAAAGTTGTACAGAATCAAAAACCCTAAAGGGCAAAATTAATTTGAAACACACAGGGCGATGAGTGAAAATGGAACACGAAAAATATTACATTTTTAAATGGAATACCCTGTAAATTTTTAAACATATGAATTTCTGAGAAAATTCTATATATGGCAATATAAACAGTTTTGTTACATTTTAGTGCGGGGTTGCCAAGTTATGTAGAAAATTCTTTGAATTTTGGAAAAAATAACATGACCTCGAAGAAGTTGTAGTATTAACTTTCAACTGCTAACACTTGGAGCAAAAATATTTGACAGTTATAGGCAACTGTTAGGCAAAGTATCCTATATTAGCTAATGTCGATATTTTGTACAGGGCATTTTTTATAATACGATCATTTTTAGAAAGTTCAAACTTGATTTTTTAAATGGAACCCCTTGTATATTATTGTTCTATTTTAGTCCACTCCAACTTTTATTAAGTATGTTCTACACCTAAAGTTGCTAGTTTTTAAGATATAATATTTCTGTAAAAAACTAATTTTTATTATTTTCGGTCGCACGAAATGGCTTTGGAAAAAGCTATCACATTGTGTCAACTTGTCAGTTCATAATTTATCATTCATTAATATTTATTTGTAGTATTCTATAAAATCATAAAAATTAAGTTTATCAGAAATGTTGCTATATCTTAAAAACTAACAATTTTAGATACAGAACATACTTAATAAAAGTAGACCGATATTTGAATAAAATAGAATAATAAAATAGAAAAGTTTTAGAAAATCAAGTTTAAACTTTCTAAAAATGATCGTGTTATAAAAAATGCCCTTTAGAAAACATCGGTATTAGCTAATATAGGGGCCTCTGTCTAACATTTGCCTATAACTCTGTCTAATTATTTTGTTGCAAGTGTTAGTAGCTGAAAGTTAATACAACTTCTTCGAGGTCATGTTTTTTCCAAAATTCGAAGAATTTTCTACATAACTTGGCATGTATAAAAATATGCAGGGTGTTCCATTTAAAAAATGTAATATTTGGCGTGTCCCGTTTTTACTCATCGCCCTGTATGTATCAAATTAATTTTGTAGTTTAGGTTTCTTGATTCTGTATAACTTTTATATAAACTTTTTTCTTGTATTATGAGTAACAAGGGACTTATTTTACTCTCTCACACTAATGGCCCACCCTGTATATAATTAGGTAACTCTCGTACTTTTTGCTTTACTTTGAATATAGGTACTGAGCTAGGACTAACACATTCATGTTCAGGATCAAGCAGGTCTTGAATCTTTTTAATGTTTGGCGATCAAGTGATTCGTGACACGAAGTAAACGTTGAAGAAAGTTTTACAATATCTACTGCAAATTTGGAACAGTGCAAAGTATGTTTGGAGCTCTATACTTCTTACAGTCCAACAACTGGCAAAATTCGACAAGTCTCGAAACGTATGAGTTCCCTCGAGGTGAATAAACACTAGAATTAGTTGGTATAACGGCGAATCTACAAATGATTCCTTATTAACACACACACACATCTATTACGCTGATTGAGAATCTTCATTAAAATGTAACTAGCAAGAGTCAGCGGTCTGTAAAAAAACACGTGCATATGTTGGTAACGATGTGCGTCTAGTTTATTCGAAATTACTTCAACGAGCACCAACCCAGTGTAAATTATCCAATAAGTTATGAGAAACGTAACCTAGCAGCGCTGTTTACCCTTTCTAACAGCTCTCATCATAATCAAGCGACTATAAATAAACGTAGGTGTGAATTATTCAAAACTCCGGCCCATAGCTTAACTTTTACCGCTCACGGAACAGCTGACATCGCCCCCATCACCACGTGTTCCTACATGTAAACAAAAGAGAGAAGGCGCGACATACCTGGCACCGAAAAGAGCACAAACAGACAGAAAGGGATGAAGACGATGAAGGCGAGCACCAGGAAGCAGTTCCGTCGCCTGAGAGGGGACATGGCGAAATTCACAACGGCCATGTCCCACCGACGCTCGCGTTGCACCTCTACACCATCACCAAAGGCCGAACAACCACTCGTCACAGCGTTGGCGGCGCCTCAGGGGCCGATAAACACGGAAATCGGCGGTAGCACGCGATATTTTGACAGTTTCCGCGATTTGGGCGATCACCAGGCCGTACCAACACTGGCTTCGATGTGACTGAAATGCACGGAACAGCGGCCAATACTTATATAAGGTCGCGGAATCAGCACGCGGTGGCGGAACGTATCGAGGAGAGTCGAACGCGTCTAGAGAGGCGCGCATTTATTGATCTTCTCGCCTGTTGTGGTACGAGTTGCGAGTAGCACGTGGCTCAGAAGTAATTCATGATTAATTAGTCCGCGGACTTGTTAAATCGTGATTTAGTCCCGCGGCTTCCGAATTGCAAGCCAGGATTGGTTTGCGAACAGCACGCACAGTCTTGAGGTACTCGACTGAGGATCATCCTGACGCTGCAACTTTTGATGACACAGAAAATAATAATGAAAATTAAAATGATCTCAGTGCTCTTGTAACTTTCCGCCAATTGAGACTACGAATTATTTGGGAATTCCACAAGGGTCGAATTTAAGGCCATTTTTCATGACGTTTAGAAGCAAGAATTAGCCTAGTATTTAAAAAACATGGTTTCAATCCTACTGAGATGAATGCGACTTCGAAAGTACCTCAAGGTTCTACATTTGGTCGCCTTCTGTTCAATATTTTCATTAATGACTTACACGCGAGATTTTCTTTCTAATCGCTACTTTATGCTGATGAGTTATTTACAATAATTGAAGTTCATGATTACTTTGTTTCCCTACATTGTCTTTTCTTGTTCTCTAATTGGATTCGGTTTGGACGTTTTCAGCCACGAAATTTGAGTTATTCTACATTTTTCCAATTTTCACCCCCAAGAACGGCAGTGACAACATTTTTAAAATTATGGCGATGTTTCGCATGGTACTAGCTATGTCATGTAACATTTAGTTTCGCTCAACTCACTCGGTTTCAAAAATACAATACTTATGTACGTTTTCAGCCACGAAATTTGAATCATTCTACATTTTTCGAATTTTCACCCCCGAGAACGGCAGTGACAACATTTTTAAAAGTATGGCCATGTTTCGCATGGTACTAGCTATGTCCCGTACAGATTTAGTTTCGCGCAACTCACTCGGTTTCAAAAATACAATACCAAAAGTATTCGAATGCAAGCTATTCGATTTTGAATTTTCTCGATTCTGCCCATCACTATTTTGGACAGTATACTGTAGACATATAAATAAATAAATTCAACATAAATACCACGTAATCTTTGCCAATGATTTAAAAATTAATATACCGTTAATTCGGGAGCGTTATCGTTTTATTAATATTCATTTTAGAGCAACCGCATGTACTACAGTTCTTGATTTTTTATAGTTGTCGAATTTCGAACATCGGTTTTACTGTCACGCCCGATAAAATAATTATATTAAACCGACAATAACCCTCAATTTTTTACTGAATTCAATTACTTCCTTCCTCAGCAAATTAAAAGAAATTGAAAGTTGAGGATCTACTAGTATATTTAAAATATATGTATGTATATTTATATTTTCTTTAAAAGCTCAAGAAAATTAGTGCTCGTATACAGATATTGCAAAGCATGTTCCATAGTGGATAAAAAAGAGAGTTTTATTTAGTTTCTACTAGATATACAACTTGTAGGTTGCCCACTACAATATTATCAACTTCTGGGTTGATCCGGGAATATCGAAAGAACGTTATTTAAAAGTATTGTACCCTGATCCTCCACCATTTATTAGAAATTTATGTGGTAAATTCATACTATAACTCCACAAAAACGGAGTAAAAAGCACATGCCGTACTTTTTATTTTTCAAATACATAACAAGTTATGCTGCAAGTAAAAAACTTACTCTCAGTATAACTCTAAACTGCTGCGTTGCGTAACAGTTATTTTTGAGTTTTATATCAAAAACTAGAAAGACTGACAAGTCTGCTAACGCAGACTTGATCTTTCTTATTCACCATCCACCATCACCACGTGGACAACCACAGCCTGTATTGATGCTCATTAAACGAGAATTTATTTCGGTCCTTTGACAAAATTCCCATAAATTAAAAACGTGTCAAGTTGAAATCTCACGGATTTGAGACAGACGCTACCCTCTTCCCTGACATTAATTTTCCAGTCCCTTCTTGCAACCTGAACCTGCAACTTTATCCTCAGACGTTTAGGAGGAACTTATTTGTTATCATAATAATGTGTAGGACGCCTCCTCCGAGGCCCAATGGGGTTGTTGTCGGAAGATTAAAGCGGCTTTTGTGATTAATAACACGATTTCATTAGCGGGGGAGAAATTAGTTTCAAGGGCTGACGCTGCTTCGAGAACAAAGAAGAAACGGTTGTCACATTGATACCCCTATATCGAAAGTTTTGTCCCATTCGAAATTTAATATCTTCAATTTACTGAAATGTATGAATAATACAAAATTTTCTGTATGAAAAATAGAGTAAAAATAATGAGAGGTAATTTTTTCAAGATTGTAAGTACCTTAGTAAAAACCGAGTTATGGTAAAAAAAACCAATGACATATTTTCGTAGCAATTTTTTTATGATTTTTGTCAATAAAAAAGTGGTTTTTAGGGGTTGAAAGGAAAAAAATTATTTTATTAGATATAAGGTAACTTTTATTTTAAATAATTGCACTTAGGGGTAGTTTTTACCCCTAAAAAACAAAAAGCGTCAATCGGACTTATGTCACTTTTGAACTTGAGCCTAAGACGAGCCTTATTCTAAATTTTCATGCAAATCCATGCAGTTTCAAAGAATTAGGAGGTTACAGCTGATTTTCAGCTTCAATGACTGTACTATTAATTATTAAATTTAAAATAAATATAAAATCGGATGTCTAAGTAAAAAATAAAACGTTGTATGCACCACGGATGATTATGCTCTTAGTCGATTTGTTTTCATCCCTGTATCTCCCTTGATACATAAATAACTATTTTTTAAACTTTTGGTTATATCGATTCTGTTCTTAATGACCCATATATCTCCAAAATATTTTGGACATATAATAAACACAGTTATCTATAGGAAAATTAGTGGAAAAAATGATGATACAGTTCTCATTGTCGACAGACATTCAACAATATCGGCCTAGAAACAATTTACCTTGAGCTGTCTACGAGATGTGTCTGTACTCACACGCGAAGGTCAAATATTCAATAAGTTTCTAATACATTGCAATAGAAGAACAGATATCGCCCAGTTCTTAGTAATATTACTCAATTTCCACAGTTTAATAATAGATTCTAGAAATAATGTTTGTTATCTTATTATCTACCAACACGTAATTTCTGCACGAAAAAAAGTTAGCTACTTAGTTGGATAAATATAGCGGATTTTTATGCATAAAAAACTGAATAATATAATTAATTAACTATGATCTTGTACTCCAGAACAATTAATAGAAGATTTAGAGTCCAATAACAACTTAAGATCACCCACATAAATTATCAAGGTACTTGATTGGATCATCAATAAAAAGAACAAACAGGAGTGGCCCCAGAACTGAGCCTTAGGGAACCCCTGGAAATTGAAGCAACGACAATAGTGAATTTACCAGGAACATATTTGTCTTATTTTTTGGGGTAGTCCTTGCGTTTAAAGTCTATTACAAACTTTTTTATTCATCGCATACACATCCGCTTCGCGTTCCAATTGTAATTAAGACATTGTAGGCCAATATTGCGGGCATCACGAACCTCCTAAAGTAGGTACTGTCAGTGCCCATCGGCTTGCCGAACAGCAAGGTTCCGATAGACGATGGATTCTGGGAGTCTTTCCCCCGATATCCTCGAGTTAGATGAACTCGACCAATGCTGCAACTCCACCAGCGGCTGGCCACCCCAGCCACAAGTAAGCAAAGATGTTAAATTTTTATTGCACCTTTCTTCTGAAAACTATTTTTTTTAATTAAAGTTAATATTTAAGTGTTAAATTAAAAGTTTAATGCTCTGAGTCATTATTTGACGTACATAAAACAAATATTGTGTGATTAATCTAAATTACAATCAACGTTCTCTGAAACACCACATAGTGCTATGTATTTTTAATGCTTTCTCAAAATCAGTCAACAGAACTGACATGTTTATATTTACCAGAGATAATAAACACTGTAGGAAATGTTAATTAATTCAATTGTAACCTTAAGTAATTCTTTTCCAATGCACGTAATTTATAAAAAGTTAAACAATTACGAATTCTAAGCGCAATAAGAGAACGAAAGAAGTAAAAGGTCCCACAGACACGTTGAGAAAGACCATGAAAGGGAATGGGACAACATTAATGAGACAAATTTTAATGAAAAAAAGACTGTGTTTTATCAAGCTCATAGAACTGCTAAAAAATTTAGAAACAAATGTATCCCGTAGTGTTTGATTTTATATTTATCCAATTCTATTTAGAAGATTGTCTTATGTTAGTAAGTTGGTTGTCTCCATTTAACCAAAGATGCAATCTGAAAATACTTCTTGGTACAAAATTACACCAAACTTTGAATAAATGTAGCCTCTAGCCTCTGAGATCAAGACAATTTATCATTTACATAAATATAAAGTCAACATTATCCTGATTTGTTTTACTGATCATTTTAATTTACATAACATAACATAATAAAAGCTAATGCTTTTCTAGTGCCAATGCTAATTTGAAGTTCCATTTTCTGATTAATTAATATAATGTAGTATTTGAGTTAATTTTGTTAAATGGATGAAACACTTTATTTAACCCTACGTAGAACTCAACAAGGTAAGCAAATTTTTGAAATAATCAATAATCAAAAATTGTAACCATTTGAAATGGTTCAGATATACAGGGTGATTCACAAATGGTGACCAAAAATGAAACCTCGTATTCTTTGGTGAATTTTAAGAGCAATTTTTCCTGTAAAGTTTTTATCCAGGACGCTTCGTTAAAAAGATACAGGGTGTTAAACTTCAAAAAAATATTTTAAATTTTTTTAAATAATTTAAAAACTAGTAAGTGAAATACTTTGAAATTGGGCACATGTATTTATGTAAACATTGTCCAAAATCTGAGGTCTTTTCCTAAAATGTACATGCTTCAGTAGCAGAGATACAGGGTATCGGTG